TATATTGTTAGATTACATTTCTGGAAAGCCTCATTTGATAAAACACTTAATTCATACAGCTTGTGCAGACAAAAACAACAAAGTGTTTTTTTTCACTGTTAAATAAATGACATTGTTTAAATAAATACACGTCTTCTGCAGAAAATGTGAAAGCCGCACAGCCACGTCAAGGCACCTCCATATAGTGCGGTATTCTGCAGAAGACATCCCTGTGCCTGTAAGGAGGTTGGGTTTCCTCCTGACAAACCTGCACCCAATTTAATCTTTTGCCCCATGTGCTCCAAGATGGAGACTCTCATAGTTTAGAGTTAGGACCGCACTATATGGAGGTGCCTTGACGTGGCTGTGCGACTTTCACATTTTCTGCAGAAGATGTGTATCTAAACCTCTGCTTTTAACCTTAGTGGTTAGACAGGTTTTTTTTGCATGCTGGCTTGTGAGTGTGCTGGGAAAACGTTTTGCTGTTTGTACTGTATTAGGCCCTTCCATGTGCACCTTGCTGTAAAGCTGGTAACAAATTGATGAGTGCGTTTGCCATTTGTTTTGCTCTACCGTACTCTGCGGCATTTGATCGCTTGGGTCCTTCGGGTAAGCCTGCTCCACACTCTACTGAGACCAATTCAAAGCACTTTTGTCGTCTGTTAAGACAACATTCTCTGATGGATTCCTGGCGGGTACTTCACCCCTCGGAGAAGAGGTATTCTTTCTTTTCAGCTGTCCATAATACGCATACTAGCTTGGAGTATTTTTTTATTAACCCACCAGTTTTGCGAAATACAGTGGCCTCAGATAGGAGTCATATCTTGGTCGGATCACAGAGCTGACCCTTCAGATAGACCCCACTAGTATTAAACAATGCCATTGGAGGTTGAATGATGGTCTCCTTAAGGAGGAAACTTCCAAATTAGAACTAGAAAAAGCTATTATCTTCTACTTTACTACTAATGTGGGGACAGTATCGGCGGTATCCAATCTATGGGAAGCCCAAAAAGCCACTGTCAGGCGTCATTATATAGCGTTAGCCTCTAAGATTAAAAAAGATCATATGGCTTGACTTGAACATTGAGGACTGAGATATCTTTAGAGTACCGCTTGACTGTTCGGTCTACTAAACTGCTTTTGCGTAAACTGATTTGGGCTCGAGCCCAACTTTGCCATTGTTTAATACATGAGACGGAAATCTCTATGCTTTATCTTAAACAAAAAGATTATGAAAAGGGCCATAAAGCTCATACCCTCTTAGCTCGGAAGTTAGGAAATTACCTTAATAATAGGCAGGTTACAGCTATATGGGATTTTGAGAGATATGTTACGCTATAAAATAGCCACTATCTTTAAGGACTATTATAACATGCTGTATAACTGAGGGGATCCTTCATTCAACACTTCAGATGCCCACTTGGCTACTCGTATTCAAGACTATCTCAATTCTAGCGCTCTGCCTAAGATTTTCTGTGAAGCCCTGTTAGATTTAAATGCCGCTATTTCTCATGAGACGATCCGTTCAGTAATCCGTTCACTTCCATCAGGTAAGTCTCCAGGACGGTACGGCTTTACCTATTTATATTACAAATCTTTTACAGATATACTTATCCCCTACTTCACAGAGCTGTAAAATGAATTCCTCACTGGTGAAACAATTCCCTCCTCTTTCTTGAGCTCCCACATTGTGGTGTTGCCTAAACCACGGCTCCCAATATTAAGTTAAAGTTTCAGCTGCACTGTCCTCCTCAGTGAAGCAGGTAGATATCAATCCGCCCCAGCGCGGCGGATTGATAGCTAGATAGAGATTGCTCCCTGTCCAGAGACCTGGAGGCTGAGAGAGGTACGCAGCCAGGAAAGGTGTGCACATTTTTAATATAATAACGGTAATGTGTTGGTGGGTGAAATTATAAAAATAGATAAATGATCCACAGAAACTGATTTAGGGCTTCTTCACACTATCTGATGCGTACAGGTCATGGTTCTGTGCCATGAATGCACTGGATTGCATAAACAAAGCTTCCCCACATTACTGGGTCGGAGGGGGCGTGGTGGTGCCATGTCAATGGCACCGCTAACACGCCTCCCGCCCACAGTGCGATCGCCCACAGCGGAACGCGTGGCACCATAATGCCCTGCGGTCGCATTGTGGCTGGGAGGCGTGGCAGTGGAGCCATTGACATGAATGGCACCGCCATGCTCCCTGATGCCCCATAATGCAAGGAAGCTTTGTTTATGCCCCTAGTTCTCAACTGGTGGGTTTTGACCCAAAAGTGGGTCGCAACCCCGTCTTCAGTAGGTCGCCATGTGCCTTTTCACTGCGCTCAGCCTCCCCCCTAGCACAGCCAGGGCAGCCATCAGAAATTTCGGGGCCCCCTACATGGCTTTAGGCCGGGGCCCCCCCCCCGCACACATTAGAGTGTAAGCGGTGCATCCAGATATCCCTGGATCCGCCGCTGCAGCTTTGTATAATGTATTTCTGGAATTCAGTGGCGTAACTAGAACCTTGAGGGCAAGAAACTATGAAGGGCCCCCCTAATCCCCCGCCGCCATGAAACTGTGTGGTTAACAGGAAGGCTGCTGAGGTCCCCAGCAAGCGCGGGACCTCAGGCAGCCGCTTCAGTTTAAAAATTTAGTGACGGTGTTCTTTCGAGAACGCCAACCCAGTATCTGCGTTTGCACACAGACGGATCAAGCTTTCCTCGATCATACTAGTCTGTGCACAAGCGCAGATGCTGAGGGTGGCAAATTCGACTACATTGGTATTCTAGACAGAACACAGGTATCTGCTTTTAGTATCGGGGCATTTTCACGAGTATGAATACTTGTGAAAATGCCCAGTATTGGCACTGACTGGTGCATACCTACTTAAAAATATAATGCATTGCTGGGACTTGTAGCCCTGCATAGTTGGAGTATTCTGCATTGCTTTATAATGATTACACAGCAATGCAGAATACCACCAGCTATGCAGGACTAAAAGTCCCAGCAATACATCATAATAAAAAGCAGGGGAATGCTGAATACCACCAGCACCCCCCTTCCCCCGCGCCCCCCCTTCACGGTCCAGACTTACCTGACTCTCATGCAGGACCCTCTTCTGTGTCTCGGCGGCCAGGTGGCGGGGCTAAGAGGAGAGGATCCTCAAACGCCAAGGCCCGGTCGCAATTGCAAACGCTGCGACTCGGTAGTTCCGCTGGTGCTGGAATTTGTAGTCCTGTATAGCTGGTGGTATTCTGCATTCCTGTATAATCATTATACAGTTATGCAGAATACCACCAGCTATACATTTTACATAAAGTCAGCAATACTGCCACACCAATGAGAGGCTGAGGAAAGGGGGATTGTAAAAAAAACGCTAAACTGTAAATAAGCGGTTTATGTTATAAATGGTTTTTGCGCTGTATTGGTGTTTGTGTTGTGATAAAATGATACAGGCGTATATTTAATCACAACACAAGGTAATACAACGCACGGCAATGCGTCACAAAGCTTTGCCATGCGCTGCCACAGTTAAATTAATGTTTTTTTACGATAGAAAAAAATCATGCACTGCAATGCGTTCTAACAACGCACTGCAGCGCATGTTACTGGCGTATACCACAATATGGTGCACGTGTATGTTATGTGTGTGTGGGGGAGGAGGGGAGTGGTTGTTCTTTTTTTATTTACATATTATTTATTTATTTATTATTATTTACTGTTGGGGGGGCTTTGGGGAAATATTAGCGGTCTAAACAGACCCCTGACATTTCCCTTTTGAAATAGAAAAAGACATTGAGGACATAGAGTCCTCAATGTCCTTTTCTGCAGCCTCAGCACTCAATGAATGGGAAGCACTCAGTACAGAGGCTTCCCATTCATTCACAAACTGCTTATAGTAAGATATTTACTATCAAGCATATGCTCAATGGGGAAAAGCCTCTGTACTGAGTGCTTCTCCTTATTGAGAAATTCATGCAAATCACCTCCTGTTACAAACACTGGAGTGATCAGACGTGCACGGAGGATCGGTAAATATCAATGATACTTACCGATCCTCCGCTCGGCCACGCACACAGCCGCTGTCATCCTGAAACTGACAGGAGGACAGCGGCTCTGCTCTCCTCCCTGCCTGCCTCGATCACGATGATCAAGCGGCCGGCGGGGAGGAGAGGGGAGCCGCTATCCTCCTGTCAGTTTCAGGACGGCAGCGGTTCCCCCCTCGGATCCGCCACTGACCTGCACACCCGACCCGCTGGACTGACCGGAAGTGATGTCACGTCACCAACGTGATGTCACTTTTGCCCTCAGACGAGCAGCGTCGCTGATGGGGCCCCAGCTTGTCTTGAAGCCGCTGGAGCGGCAATGCTGGGGCCCTGCGCTGGTAGGGCCAATCCTCCATCCCCGGCTGCCTCCTCGCACTTCACCGTCGGCGGATACTCATGTATGGGTCCTGGGCGGGCCCCGGAGGTTGCCCGGGCCCCTTACATGAGTATCGGACGTACCCCCCTGACCGCGGCCCTGAGCACAGCACTGTCAATTCTCGAGCCAAGCAGCCATTCAAGATATGCTGCCCGGGACAGAGTGTCAGCTTGAGGAACAGTGGGCTCGGATGGGCTCCATCCATAAATGCATTGATTGTACAGCTTTCTTGCATGCCCTGTAGAAGTGCCTGGACTGGAGTGACGTCCCATTCTGGCTCCCGGCACTGTACAGGGAACTGTACAATCAATGCACCAATGGATGGAGTTCCGTCACAGCACAGCAGCCCACACTGGACCCCAGGCTGAGGATCCACTCCAGTTCTAGTAAGGTAAGGAGACTGGAAAGAGCTTAAAAAAAAAAGAAAAATATTTTTTTTGGAGTGTGTATGAGAATGTCTGTAAGTGTGAGATTGTGTCTGTGGTTGTATGTGTCTGTCAGTGTTTCTGAGGGCCTGTTCACACTAGTACAGTGTGTTAATCACCCAGTCCAATGTGATTAATGCACTGTACCACGCAATCGCACCTACCAAACACACCTCGGACCACAGTTTGATCACCCGCACCGAAGCGCTTAGTGCCGCAATGCTGTGCATTCCAGTGCAGTGTGACTTGGGCCATGACTTGATGACCGAAGACAAATGTGGGTCCTGAGGTTACACAGGCTGAGAACCACTGATCTATGGGATTGATTTGTACTGGTTTGGAGTTTATAGAGGATACTTCCAGTCAATTTTTGGTTTAAGCGTACAATGCTTTGTACTTCCTAATCTAGATTTTGCTCCTACTTGGCAGATTTCGAGGAAGATCATTTTCATGCTCCCTCCCGCTTTACTTTTTCCCTTTCTATTCTATTTATCCTTTTTCTTTTCCTCATCTGCATCTGATTTACTTGATAACATATGGCAGTATGTATCTGCATTATATTGACCCATTGTTGTATTTATGCCTCCACGTATAAGACATTCTCTGCCTTTTCTCATTTACCGTTTTTTGCTTTAGACCTACTATGCATACATGTGATATCTATATTGATAAGGGTTAACTTGTATTCTTGAATTACTTGGCTTGGAAATGCTTAGGCGATCTAGTACTGTCATTGTAATTACATATGTTTCAGTTGTTATTTTCTTCGCTTTGAAAAAATCTTTAATAAAAAGTTATTTTTAAATAAAAATAGAAATACTGGAGCACTGAACACCACATACAGTGGTAGTATAGCCCACTCTCTGTACCACATGGTATTTGATGTGAGATAGTGACCTTAGATTGAAAGCTTCTTGAGGGAAGGGACTGATGTGAATGAATAACATGTAAAACCCTGTGTTAATTGACAGAGCTTTATAAATACTTGTAATAAAATAATATAATAGATGATTCATTGTAATGTAGCAATGGCACTATACAACGTATATTGCACTGTACAGCAGTTACTATCTCTCCGTGAAATTGCTCTAAATTTCAATAGGTTGATGGGAGAGCTGACTTTAATAGAGAGGGGGCTGGCATATTATTGGCTATACCAGGTGTACACAACCTTGGCACTCCAGCTATGGTGGAACTACAAGTCCAATGAGGCATTGCAAGACTCTGACAGCCACAGACATGACTCCCTGTCACGGACGGGTAGGGTGGAGCTTCTTATTCCGTGCTGGACACCGCCCCCCTCGTCCGCGTCAGGCTACTTCACCCCTATCCTGTCACTGCGGCTTAAAGCTGCGTAGTTTGAAATGCTCGGCGTCTTGACAATTTGAGACGCTGAGCATTTCACCTCTACACTCACACTCTCACTCTCCTACTTACCTTCGGGTAGACGAAGGACTTCATGGGGGAACTGCACCATCCAGCATGTCTACTAGGATCCAGGCTGCTCGTCAGCCAAGCAGCCATCGATTAGCTCTACCCTGTGATCCAGCTCCTGCTCTACCCTGTGATCCAGCTCCTGAGGTTAACAGCCGACCTTTCCTCCTGCAGCTGCTACTTGAGACAGTGCTGGCTGCTCCCAAACCACACTACAGGAATTCAACATGTGAGTGCAGATCTTCACACATCCATAGGGAGCACAGTTCCAGGGAGTCGTCGATGATCGATTCTTATCAATTACGCATCACTCCAAACCGCAAGTATAAGTTTTGGAACTTATCCTATTTATTACTGGGAGCTTGAGTAAAGTAATATAGGTACATTTGGACTCTCAAATCCGTGAATGTTGAACTGATATAACCACGTATTGCTTTACCTGAACTCGACACTTGTGACCTGTGCAACTCACCTGGACACGATTGATCCTTGCTTACAGCTACTACAGGTGAAACTCGAATAATTAGAATATCGTGCAAAAGTAATGGCAGTAATTGCTGCAAAAGGGGCCCAAACCAAGTACTGAGTACATATGCATGCTTGTACTTTTCAGAGGTCCGATATTGTTCTATGTACAATCCTTGTTTTATTGATTGCATGTAATAATCTACTTTTTTGAGGTTGTGGATTTGGGGTTCTTGGGGTTTTCATGAGCTGTAAGCCATAATCATCACAATTATGACAAATCACGGCTTGAATTATCTTGCTTTGCATGTAATGAGTCTATCTCATATATTAGTTTCACCTTTTAAGTTGCATTAGTGAAATAAATGAACTTTGCACGATATTCTAATTATTCGAGTTTCACCTGTAGAGATAAGCTAGCCATACACCTTACAATTATCTGCAGATTTTCTGTGGTCAGATGGAAAAGGTGCAACAGATTCCTCCATCTACACTTAACTGTGTGGATGGAGTAATCTCCACCTGGGCAAATCTGTTGCACTTTTTCCATCTGACCACAGAAAATCTGCAGATAATCGTAAGGTGTATGGGCACCTTTATTTTACCAC